ATTGCGGCGTGACCATCCCCCCTGGGGGGTGATTTCTTGCTTTCTGTCTCTATGTCTCTCTCTGTCTGTCTGGCGAGCGCACGCGCCCTACAGTGAAAATCTCTCCAAAAAAAAAAAAAATAAAAATTTATCTAAAAATATAAAAAATGTTCAGGACTAGCAGATGGTGTAATGGCTATGTCACTGGACTCCCATGTAGTCAATCGTGGTTCGAGTCCTGGACCCAGTGGCTTAAACCAGGCACACTGTGCATGTGTGTCCAAGATCCCGAGAGGAGATTGAAGGAGAAGGGATTGCAGCGTGGCCATCCCCCTCAGGGGGTGATTTCTCGCTGTCTCTCTGTCTCTCTCTGTCTTTCTGGCGAGTGCACAAATCCTACAGCAAAAACCTCTCAAAAAAAAAAGTTCACACAGAGGGCTGACCCCATATAGTACAATGGTTAGACACTATATGGAGAAAGCTTGATCTTACATGGCCAATCAGGGTTCAAGTCCCATCCCTGTTGGTTTGAAAAATATCCTGGGCATGTATGTGCATGCCCAGGATCCTGATGGGATACAAAACTAGAGGAAAAATGACTGGGAGATGACCAGGACCTCTTGGGGAGTGCTTTCTCTCTCTCTCTCTTTCTCTTGCACATACCCACGCATATGCACCTTCTGGAATTAAAAAAAAAAAAAAAAAAACTGACACAGAGAGATAAAACACTGATCATTTATGATCATCACAGCATTTATTATTCAAATTTAAAAACAAATCAGGAAATTCTATACTACCCAAACCTCACATTCATGAATTATGTAATCACCGATTTGCCTTTTCATTCTAGATGACGTTTCATTAGAATGACAATATATTGGAGGTAGTTATTTTGCCAAGGCATAAACTTCAATCACAAGAAATAAATCACCAGTACACAGAAGAGTTTGGTATCAGTGGTTGAACCTAATGGCCCACCTAATAACCATATCCTGTTATTTTCTACTGAATTTTTTTAAAAGTTTTTTTGCCATAGGCCATGTGTGCTTGCCAGAGAGACAAGAGACAATGAGAGGGAAAGTGAGAAATCATCCCCCAGGGGGATGGCCACACCAGAAACTCTGGTCCTCCACTCTCTCCTCTAGGGATTCTGGGCATGCACGCACACACACTTGTGTGATTTCTCTAGCTGCCATGCCCAGGACCCTAACACTTGTTGGCCAAGTAGGAGTCTAGCATTCCAATCACTGCCCCATCTGCTAAGCACCAGGAGGTACCTCTTGAGAACAAGGTTCTAACCACTATATTTAGGTTGCAAATCTCTTCTTTCAATTACAAAGGGAGAATTTTCTGTAATTCCTTTTCCAGTTTTAAAATGAATATAGTATGAAAAGGGATAAAATTTACAAAGAAATCACTTTAAACTAAAAGAATGAAGTGCTGCGAGGCATAAATGAGAACATTTTGCTTGTTTTATTTCCTTCATGAGAGGAAAAAATAGAGAGAGTGAGACAGAAAGATAAGTATCCTCTGCAGCATCTAACAGCACAATCTTCTCCTAGCCTTTCACAGCCATCTAGGACCACGGCCATGCACGCCACGAGCACGCACACAGAGGCAGTCAGCCTGGGAACAGGGCTCCAATTTTCCATACAGCCTCCAACACTGCAGAGCATTTTTCTATCACTGCACCCCCACAGCTGGGTCCATAAATAAGAAATTTTAAACCTTTACTTGTGGTAGCAGATATGTTCTTAGTCTGTCCTATCTTTCTTCCTTTGGGGAACCAAGTCTTCCCTTCCATTCCATGTAATCTGGGTCCAACTAACCCTCTAATCTAAATCTGTTCCCTGGTCCACCAGAGTGCTCCATGCTGGAACAAGAATGAGTATGTAAGCCAATACAGAAGAGTTGGTATTTCCTCCAGGAACTTTCTTTTGGAACATTCAGCAAAGCCATTTTTTTCTTCCTTTGGGATCATTACATTTAAAGTTGTCTTTTTCTTTCCTTAAGTTGTCAGAGGGGACAGGTGGCACATGTGCTTGCTAAAGAGAGACAGAGAAAGGGAGAGAGAGAAAACAGTCCCCTCCGAGGTGTGATCATGCCACAGCCCCTTCTCTATTTCTCCATTCCTCTAGGACTTTGGGCATGCATGCACAAGCACCTGGCATGTTTTTCAAGCAGCCAGGTCCAGGATTCAAACCATGAAGTAGACCATATCGGATCCAGATCCCTTAACCACTAGCCCATAGGGCTAGCCCAGATTTAAAGATATATTAACTGGAGTTCCTTTTGGCCACCTTCCCTGGTATTAAGAAAAAGCTATTTGCAGCAACAAAGAATAGAAGACTAATGCATAAAGGAAGCAGAGCCTTTCGATACAAAACAAAAGCAAGAACAAGAGTACATCCAATGACATTAAGAGCCATAGATAACTTCAAAGCTACTTCTATCCCTGGAATTTTAATTTATGTGAACTAATAAGGTCTGCCTTCAGCTTAAGCTAGTTTAACATTGTATCAATTAAAACTGAAAGGGCTACAAAATACTTGTACTGTACAGAGAAAAATAATTTGTTACCTAGTAAATCTAGCAATTATTCTAGCACACCCTTTTACAAGACACAATTGAGATTACATTGATTTATCTTCAGAAGTTATCTTTTCCTTAATAAAGATACTTTCTGAACTATTATCTAAAACTCTTCATGGAATATACGACATATACGCATATGTTGATGTGACCGATACTCACATTCATCAAGCCCCAGCTGATAGGCCAGGTTCTGTAGGCCTCGTACCTTCTCCATCAAATTAGCTGTGGTTAGGCTGCCCAGTTCTGAAACAGAATTATTTATTTCAGTATCGTATCTTTTTACTATCTTCTAGTAACAATTCATTTGGGTTGAGAGCCTTTGATATAAAAGTTTTCCAGTTTAATTTTATTTTTAATTTTTTCTTTTAGGGAGAATTTTGCTATAGGGTACATACACTTGCCAGAGAGAAACAGAGAAATCAAGAAATCACCCCCCCAGGGAAGATGGCCACAACACAATCTCTTCACCATTCTCCTCTCTGCATTTTGGCCACATATGCACATGCACCCAGCGTAAGTTTGTTTATTGGGGTTTTTTTGAGAGGTTTTTGCTAGAGGGCGCATGCGGTTGCCAGAAAGACAGAGAGAGAGACAGAGAGAAAGAAAGCAAGAAATCACCCCCGGGGGGATGGCCACGCTGCAATCCCTTCTCCTCCATTCTCCTCTCAGGATCTTGGGCATGCACGCACAAGTGCCCAGTGTGAGTTTAGGCCACTGGGTCCAGGACTCGAACAGCGGTCAACTACATGGGAGTCCAGCAACATAGCTATTACGCCAACTGCTGGTCCCACCCAGTGTGAGTTGTAAGCTGCCGGGTTGAGAACTTAAAATGCAGTCAACTATCTGGGAATCCAGCAACATAACCACTATGTCGCCTGCTGGTCCCTCAAGTTTAATTTTTATTAAATAAGTAGAAAATAGATCCATATCTCTTCTCTGTCAATCTTACACACTTAAACATAATCAGTATATTTTTCCTCTACTGCAAAATGCCTCAGCTAAGCTTAGTCACTTAGTGAGTAAAGAGCATAGAAAACAAATGAACTGTTTTATCTTAAGGATCGTTTTATAACATTAATTTTATCTAACATACAAATGAATAATTTAACCTTAAAATATTAAACCTTGTCATCTGTGATCTGACATAGCATTGAGAAAGCTTTGCAGACCGATCACTATCTTATAAAATGGACATTGTCTCTACTATCAGTTACAATTATTTTAATTACCATTAACACAACGACAAGTAATTACTGTTCCCCATTTCCCTAAGTCTGGAAAACAGACTAAACGTAAGTCCAAACTGTCTCTTCAAATTCTGATAAAAATTTTAAGTTTACCAAGTAAAAAGTTAGTATGCTTAAAAACTTACTTTCGGGAACCAGCAATTAGCATAATGGCTATGTCGGTGGACTCCCACGTAGTCGACCGCTGTTCGCATCCCGGACCCGGTGGCTTAAAACTCACGCCAGGCGTGTGTGCATGCATGCCCAAGATCCCGAGAGGAGAATGGAGGAGAAGGGATTGCAGCATGACCATCCCCCCTGGGGTGGTGATTTCTCGCTTTCTGTCTCTATGTCTCTGTCTGTCTGGCGAGCGCACGCACCCTATAGTGAAAACCTCTCAAAAAATAAAAGAAAAGAAAAAATAACTTACTTTCTGAGATTTTCATTTAAGTAGGACCCAGTTCTTTTTAAGACACAAGTCAATTTACAGAAAATATAAGGCTATGATCCCTTACTATAAATTTTCCTTACGAAATATATGCTGATATGTTATTACATAAAAGTCTATTAGGAACACTACAACAATGAACCCAAGACGCCCTTGAGACTTAATTTTTCCATGGTTGGAAGAGGGGATCTGTACTTAAGCATTTTATGCAGAATAACAAATTACTTCTGAAATCAAGCAAAGGTGTTTTTTCCTCCCATTTATCATGCCATATAGTCATTATCTGTATCTGGCATAAGTAGACTTTCTTGATCTCCTCAGCTGCTTAAACAGCTCAAGAATCCCAGGATTTTACCTTAATTTCAGTCTATTACATTTTTTTTTTTGAGAGGTTTTTGCTTTAGGGCACGTGTGCTAGCCAGAAAGACAGAGACAGACAGAGAGACAGAGAGCAAGAAATCACCTCCCAGGAGGATGGCCACACTGTAATCCGTTCTCCTCCATTCTCCTCTAGGAGTCTTGAGCATACACATACATGCACCTGGTGTGAGTTTAAGCCACTGAGTCTGAGACTCAAACCATAGTCATCTACACAGGAGTCCAATGACATAGACATTACGCCAACTGCTGGTCCCAATTTCAGCATATTACTTTACAACCATCATGAATCTTATCCCCAGAAGATGATAAAATAAATAAATAAAGTAGAACAAAATCAAGGAAAATGAGTTTTTTCACTTAAATTTCCACTTTGGAACTGAGCTCCAAATCATTTATCAAATAACAATACTCATTACTTAGAGTATTCTTTATGGAAGAAATTGATGAAATAAAGAGAAATAAAAATCAGGTCTTAGCCCACAAAGAGGCTGTCATTTAATAGTACTGACAACAATACATGGCAGCAAGGAGCTGGCAGATGGCATGGCGGTTGAGGCGCTGGACTTCCCCAAGACCAGACCTAGAGGCTTGCTTTCTCATTTTCCCTCTCTCTGGTCAAACTGAAAAAGTGATGATGATAATAATAATAATTAATAAAATAAAATAAAATACATGGCAGTAATTCTTAAATAAGGCGCTTGTGTTACAGAGATTAGATTTAATAGATTTAAGTTTCAATTTTAACTCTAACAAATCTTAGTTAACTTAACCTCTGGACATTCAGAATCATCATAGCTAACTCATAAGATTACTATGAGAATTAAATGCGAAAATTTATATGAAAATTTCTTGTTAACTGTAAAGTTTTTTTTTTTGAGAGAGATTTTTTGCTTTAGGGTGCATGCATCTCCAGTTGGTAGCATGGTGTTTAGTTAAAGCAGCTGAATCCCACATAGTTGACTGCATGGTTCAAGTCTCAGATCCATCAGCTTGAAAAATAAGCATGTGTACACATGCCCAAAATTCCAAAAGGAGAAATGGAGGAGAAGGGATTGCAGTGTGGCTAACCCCCATGGGGTAAGTAATTTCTCACTTTCATTCTCTTTCTCTCTCTCTCTTGCAAGTATTTACATTCCCTAGCAAATTTAAAAATAGAGAAAGAAAATGAAGAATTCAGCAGCAGCAGAATTCATTTGTGACTGAGTCTCAAATTGGCAAGATTACTACACATGGAAAAAGTAGAAAAAGGCCTTCCAGACATGAGGAACTACGGATAAGAACAGTCTGGTAGACAGTTTAGAACCAAGAATACTTGTAAGGGAACAGTGACAGAAAAATTGGAAAGGAGGCTGTGGTGGCACATAAATGTCAGGTTAAAAGGTAGAGGTCACCAGCACCACTTACCTTTCAACATGTCAATGTCATCACGTTCTATTTCAGCCATCCATTTAGGTGGAGAGCTAGTGATAGGCTGTCAAGAAATAAGAACATACCCATTCAGACACATAAAAAGGAGAGAGGCCCCAATCTTCTTTTTAATATGAAATGAGGCTTGTCACACCACTTTTGGGTTGTTTGAAAATACTGGTAAATTATAATTTCTAAACTTATTTCTCAAGGTTCAGATATGGCCTATAAATAAGCACCTTAAAAAATAATACTGCCCTTGCTTTGAGTCCAGGAGGCTGTTCCCAGTGACTCTGCAGCCATCACCATGCCACAATACGAATATACTGAATTACATCGTAGATGCTATGGATACCGTTTGGATTACCATGAGAAAAAGAGAAAGAAGGAAAGTTGGGAGGCTCATAAACATTCAAAGAAGAAAAAAAAGATGATCAGTCTGAAGGCTAAGCTCTATCATAAACAGCACCATGCTGAGAAAATACAAATGAAAAAGACTATCAAGATGCATGAAAAGAGGAACACCAAATAAAAGAATGATGAAGAGACTAGCCAGGGAGCAGTACCTGCCTATCTGTTGGACGGAGAAGGACAGTCTCAAGCTAAAGTACTTTCCAGTATGATTAAAAACAGAAAGAAAAAGCGGGAAAATGGGAAGTCCCTCTACCCAAAGTTCAAGCCCAGGGAGAAACAGAAGTAGTAAAAGTTATTCAAACAGGGAAGAGAAAGAAGAAGGCATGGAAGAGGATGGTTACAAAAGTCTGCTTTGTTGGAGATGGCTTTACTAGAAAATCACCTAAATATGAAAGATTCATTAGGCCAATGGGCTTATGTTTCAAGAAGGCCCACATAGCACATCCTGAACTGAAAGCCACCTTTTGTCTGCTAATACTTGTTGTAAAGAAGAATCCCTCATCCCTACTATATAAAACTTTGAGTGTTATCACCAAAGGTACTGTCATTGAGGTGAAAGTGAATAAGTTGGGCATTGTGACAAAAGCAGGCAAGGTTATTTGGGGGAAATATGCCCAAGTTATCAACAATCCTGAAAATGATGGGTGCATAAATGCTGTCTTACTGGTTTGATAGCAGTTGTATACAAGTAACTCTTTGTAATTTTTGAACATGATACACCAATTTGGAAAACCATCATGACTGATGTTTCTGACTATAGCTGGTCTTACATATCTGCAGTCATCAAAAGATTATTTATTGAGACCAATAAGTGGCATATGGCTACATCAATGACATAAGGAGGCAAGGTTATTTGGGGGAAATATGCCCAAGTTTCCAACAATCCTGAAAATGATGGATGCATAAATGCTGTTTTACTGGTTTGATAGCAGTTGCATACAAATAACTCCTTGTAATTTTTGAAGGTGATACACCAATCTGGAAAACCATCATGACTGATGTTTCTGAATATAGCCCGTCTTACATGTCTGCGGTCATCAAAAGATTATTTGTTAAATTGTACAAAAACATTAAAGTGACTTGGTTTTACAAAATAAATAAATAAATGAATGAATGAATGAATGAATGAATCTTCTTTAAAGCTGGTCTCAGAGAAATGACTTTGGAAGAATTAGATGTGGCTTCTATTTCTGTTTCATGGACAATGGGTTAGTATAGCAATGAAAGAAATTACTTGGAATTCAGTTGTGGTGAAAGCTTCCCACTAAACTGTTTGAAATAATGATCAGCAAATAACACTATCTGACAAAGAAGAAGATTCAAAGAATAATCAAGAATGAGAAAATCCTCAGTTTAAGTGAGAGAAGACTAGAATGACCATCACATCATAACTTTATCATAAAAGTTTTAGAAAACTACAATTTTGGGACTAGCAGGTGGTGTGGTGGTTAAGGCGCTGGACACTCCCACATGGCCGACCAGGGTTCGAGTCCTGAATCTGGTGGCTTGCTTTCTCACTTCCTCTCTCTCTCACTCTCACCCTCTGTCTCTCTCTGGTCAAATTAAAAAATAAATGAATGAATAAATAAAATAAAATAAATAATTATTCAAAAAAGAAAAAAAGAAAACTACAATTTTGAGTTTTCTCAGTTCTGAAAGTAAACTTCAAGCTGTAAAAGAAAGTCCTTTTTCATTTTTTTGTAATAGCTAGAGGGTGCATGCACTTTGTCAGAGAGAGAAAGAGAGAGGAAGAGAGGGCGAAAATACCTCCCAACATACTCATGCCGCAATCCCTTCTCCTCCATTTCCCTACCCTGTCGGGATTTGGGACATTCATGTACAAAAATGCCAGGGCTAGGATTCAAATCATAACTGGCCATGTAAGATCCAGCCCCCTTACATACTAGGCTATGGTTGGGGTCAGGAGGTCGCCTGGTGGTTAAGGCACTAGACTCCCATGTGGCCTACCATGGTTCAAGTCTCAGACCCAGCAGCTTGAAACTCACACAGGGCATGTATATGTGTGTGCCCAAAATACCAAGGGGAGAATGGAGGAGAAGGAACTGTGGCATGGCCACCCCCCAACCCCCCGGGGAACAGATTTCTTGTTTTCTGTCTCTCTGCCTCTCTAGCAAGTACATGTGCCCTATAGCACAAAGCTCTCTCTAAATACACACACACACACACACGCACTAGGCTATGGGTCCAACCTGAAAGTCCATTCTTAGAATAGCTTTGGGTAAGTAATTCTCCATCCTAGTTGCACATGAGACTCACGAGGGCACATGGTTAGCACTATGTGTTAGCTAATACTATTATCATATTTCCAGGCTGTGAGATTCTATAAGAAAATACATCTAGGGTACCATGTTTGCCACCCTAGAAGTGGAAATGTCTATAGCTCTAATGGATATCTTCTTTCAGGTTTCTGATAGAGCACTGAGAAATTTCTAATTCCTTTAGGAGTATAAGTTAAGATCACAATGCATCACATAAAGAAGAAAAACTTCAGAATTATAATTTGCATAAAAGAAATACTGGTGTTACATTAAATTTTCTAATTACCTTGCTTTAAAAGCTTTCAAGCTGAGAAAAGAGATTAACATAGGTCAAAATGTCAAACAGATGAAGTAAAGAGCACTATCGTCAATTAACGTAATGATAATACAAACGGATGTACAGGGCTGCAGTTACAAAACAACTTGAAGGCTATGACATTATTCTTAAAAACAGAGAAATCAGGGAGAGTTGAGCTTTAATCCAGGATCAAACTGGATAAACTTCATTAGGAAAGTAAGATAAATATTACTTACACTTTTGAAGGAAGCTGCAAATTCAGCAACACCTGGTACTAAAAAATACAAATATATATTATTTATTCAATAAATATTGGAGTTCTTAGGCACAGAGGATTCAAATAATAAGAAAACAACCTTGTCTTCAAGGTGTTTACAGCGTGGAAGAGGAGGGAGAGTGTTAAAGCAGTAATTATAATACTGATCAACCTCCAAAGGCGTCACACGCTGTGAGAGTACAAAAAATAGAAATCCAAATCAGATCGAGTGGGTAGGAAGTTTCTCAAAGAAAATAATGCCATATTTGAACTTTCAAGGACCAGGAGTTAACCAATGGTAAGATATACTATCTTTTACCAGGAAGTTTCAGCTTCTTTTTTAGGTATGCTCTCTGTCAATCTCATTATTTATTTAAATTTAAAAAGAGAGCGAGAGAAAGAAAAGTCAGATATTTAAAAATGAAATAATGTTCAATCCCACTAAAAAACACAAACTAGAAACAAAGATTAGTAACATTCAGGACTGGCTAGTCCATGAGGAAATGAGCACTCTCATACCCTGTCATCCTCTTCCATATACACAAAGGCACATGGGCAAGGCTATTCATGGATAAACCATAAAATCAAAAACTGAATACAACCTAGGTTTCGAAATAGGATATGTGTACCCGATTATAATGTTTTAAAAGACTAAAACAGATGTTAAATATAACATCTATACCCAATTATAAAGTTAAAAGACTAAAATAGAGGCAGCAATGGTGGTATAAGAGTAATGCACGGCTCTGTAATCTCAAACCGCCTGGGAAGGACCTGGGTCCAAGTTCTGAAGCCTTCCTGTACACACTGGGTACAGTCTATGATTCAGGTTGGCTCAAGCTAGTGGTCAATCACAGCGAAAAAGACTGCTGGGGATGCACGTCTCTTTGCCTTTTTCATGGAAGAAATTAAAGGAGAGAGAGAAAGTAAAGTAGACCTATATCTATCAACATGGAAAGATCCATTAATAAATTACTAGGGAGAGTAAGTTAAGCTATAGACCATATGCATACAACTTCAGCATTATAAAAACAAACAAACAAGGTCCAGTTGTAGTAAAATGTTCTGGATGGGGGAGCCAGTAGGTGGCATGGTGGTTAAAGTGCTGGACTCCCATATAGCTGAATATGGTTCAAGTCCTGAACCTGGCAGTTTGCTTTCTCTCTCTCTCTCTCGCTCTCTCTCTCTGTGTGTGTGTGTGTCTGTGTGTGTCTTTCTCTGGTCAAATTAAAAAATAATAATAATGATCAACAAAATTAAGTAAACAATTTAAAAAAAAAAAAGAGCTCTGGATGGTACTGCTACTCAGGCTGAGGCCACACCCTAAAAATTCTGGCATGGTAGCACACTATCTATAGTCCCAGCTCCTCAAGAGGCCAAGGCAGGAGGACTGTGACATAGTGCAATCTTATCTTAAATAAGGGGGAAAAAATCTCAACCTTCATATACTTAAAATTAATTATTTGCTTATTCACATAAGCATGAAAAGGTCAAAAGGATTTGTACCAAACTATTAACAGTGGTTAACTTTATAACAGTGATTGAAAGAAGTGAATAAAGGCTTTATCATTATTTGAATTTATTTCAGATGTAGTTTTAAAGAATAATTATCATTTAAAGGCTCCATTTCATTTCCTGAATCACGCTGTGCTCTGGAAATCTTAAACTATTGAAAGCTATTTTTAATAATGGATTTTAGCCTCTTCCACTTCTAGTAAAATAAAAGCTTATTGTTATTACAATTAAATGACAACTCCAAAAAACTCCCAAAAGAACACTGGATTGATTCAGATATGAAAAAGAAAAACTTACATTGTTCTGGCCAAAGATCTGGTGAGGCACGGTCAAGTTTTTCAAAACTTAACAAAGATGCTTCCAGATCTGTTCCTAGAACAAAATACTCAGATGAGCCAGTAAGACATTAAGTATGTTCATTTATATTTTATGACATTTCAATCTCTAAGAACATAAACTAGACCACTCACCTAGAAGTCTAGGGATATGAGTTCTGTAACTACTAAGGCTACTGGGCCACGATGTAATACAAATAAGTCATTCTCTCCCACCAGACCTCCCTCTTTAAGATATAAAATGGGAACTGGGGTATTAAAAACTAAATAAGTATCAACAAACCCGCCTGCACCTTCATTCATACTTCATTCTGGTGGACTTCCCACCAGAAACAATCAAGTGTCCCTGCTCCCATGAGAGATGAACTCTTCTGCAAGAGCTCTCCTGCTTTGTCAAGAACATCACTTTGAATGATCTCCTTTCTCTTGCATCATCAGTGTCTACCTTCTCCAGGCTCAAACTTAACAGCAAGCAAGGCTGCTCTAGAATTACCTTTAACTCTCACAGGACCCCATGACCTCCTTTATACCCCCTTCACTGCAAAAGTTCTTGAGTTGTCTATGCTGTTGTCTCTACTCCCTCACCTCACACCCTCTCCTCAACCTGTGACAATCAAGCTTCCGTCCCTATGTACAAAGAAACAGCTGTTGTCAAGGTCATCTATGATCTATGTTGCTAAATCCAATAGTCATTTCACTGTCCTCTTATGTGACCAACTCGTTGCAATATTCACACATGTATTACTACGCTCCTTGAAACACTAGTCCCATCTTCTATGAAACCATTATACTGGTTGTTCTTCTACTTCACTGACTCTCTTCTTCAGTTTCTTCTTCACTTCAGGCCCCATCCTAGGCTGGCTCCACTCTCTACCTCACCTAATCCTATTGCCTTTACCTTTATTTATATGCCAATGACTCCTTTTTTACAGTTTCCAGTCCCAGTCTTTCTCCTGAACTTCAGTTATATGCCCCAGTGCCTATTTGACTTCTTTCTCCCAACACGTATGAAAAACCCCTTGGGGCCAGCAAGTGGCATGGTAATTAATGTGCTAGACTCCAACACGGTCAACCACGATTCAAATGCCAGACCTGAAGGGCTGAAAATCACACTGGATGCATGTGCATGCGTGCCCAAACTCCCAGGAGGAGAACAGAGAAGGAACTGTGGCATGGCCATTTCCCTGGAGGATGATTTCTCACTTTCCCTCTCACTGTCTCTTTCTATCTCTCTCCAGCAAGTACATACATCCTATGACAAAAATCTTAAAAAAAAAAAAAAAAAAAAAAAAAAAAAGAATATTCAAAACAATCCTTTTTTTTTTTTTTTTTTTTTTTTTGAGAGGTTTTCGCTATAGGGCACGTGCTCACCAGAGACAGAAAGTGAGAAATCACCCCCCCAGGGGGGATGGTCACACCGCAATCCGTTCTCCTCTCGGGATCTGGGCATGCACACACACGTGCCCGGCGTGAGTTTTAAGCCACCAGGTCCAGGACGCGAACCACGGTCGACTACGTGGGAGTCCAGCGACATAGCCATTACGCTAACTGCTGGTTCCCAAAACCATCCTCTTTCCATGCCACCACGATGGTACACACAAATGTCCTAGCTAATCCTTTCAAGAGCATCAACAATGCCAAAAAGAGGGAAATGCCAGGCTCTTATTAGATCTTGCTCCAAAGTCACTGATTGATTTTTTTAAAAGAATTATTTTTATTTAACTTTATTTATTATTATTATCACTATTATTTTCCAGTTTGATCAGAGAGAGACAGAGAAAGAGAGAGGAGGTGAGAAAGCAAGCCACCAGGTCCGAGACTTGAACCGTGGTCAGCCATGTGGGAGTCCAGCACCTTTAATCACCATGCCACTTGCCGGCCCCGTCACTGATTGATTTTTAATTGTGATGAAGCATGGTTACATTGGCAAATGTGAAATCATTGTTGATCACAAAACTGGGAAAATTACTGTTGACTTCACAGGCAGATTAAAGTATGAACTGACCACCCCAGATTTGATACATAACTCAGAGATCTAGAAAGACGGCAGTATAATCTGCTCCCATCCTGTCAGTTGTTTCACTGTTCACACAAATAAAATGACTCGATGGAAATGAAAATTCAAAACCAACAATCATACTTTCCTAATCATTTCCATCTCAAAAAACTGCGCAACCATAAACTCAAATTTTCAAGTCAAAATCCCAGATGCCATCTTTCATGCCTCTTTTTCCTTCGCCCTCCCATAACCAATCCATCAATATATGCAGTAGTTTTTATCTCCAAAATATACCGTGAAGCCTAATTAACCCAAGGAACCATCATTTCTCTCCTGGACTACTTCAGGAGCATCATAACACATCTCCCGGCTCCCTTTCTCTTTCTTTTTTTCTTTTTTGTCAGAGGGCTAGAGAGATAGAGACAGAGGTAGGGAGAGGAAGAGAGTATCCCCAAATGGGACATAGTCATGTCACAGTCCCTTTTTCTCTGTTTCTCCGACCTGTTGGGAACTGGGACATGCATGTACATATACTCAGTGTGTTTTTCAAGTCACCAAGGCTGGGATTTGAACCATAGTCAGACATGTGAGCTATATAGTTCCTTTAACCAATCAGCTATGGGCCAGCCACTGATAATGTATGTATACGTACAAAATGTATATAACGTATACATGTACAGATAATGTATATATGTACAAAATTTTTCAACATGTCCTTTTCTCTAAACTGAATTGGTTTTTACCAAATAATCCCAGGATTTTTTTTTTTTTTAATTTGTTAGAGGGTACATGCAATCACTGGAGAGGCAGAGAGAGGGAAGGTGAAAAAGCACATCCCATTGTCACACCACAATCACCTTTTCTCCATCTCTCTCTCTCCTTTTGGGATTTTGGGCATGCACCCAATGTCTTTCAAGAACCTGAGTCCAGGACTCAAACTGTGCAATCAGCCATGTGAGATCCAGCTACTTTAACTACCACACCACTGGCTGCCTCCCCCCAAGGAATTTCCCATGGCATTTTAATTGGCAAAGAACTCAGCCCTACACTGATTTAACTAAAACATCCGAAAATTAGTAACAACAAAAAGCTGTGTGGGATGACCTTGTAGCACAAAGGTTAAGCCCTGTGTGTAAGAATTCAGGTCCCACAGCCAACTGGAATTCAAATCCTGACCCAAGGGGCTCAAAAAATATGATGGGTACATGGGCGTGCATGCCCAAAACGATCATAGAACGGCGAAATGGAGGAAAAAGGAGTACAACATAACTACACCCCATAGGGAAGTGCTTTCACATTCTCTCTCTCTCTCTCTCTCTCTCTGGCAAGTGCATCCACAGGCAATTTTTAAAAAAAGTTACATGTAACACAAAATGCCAATTTTCAAATTCTGAAGGAATGTCATTGATGGGAAGTTCAACAACAACAAAAATAAACTTACAGGGAGTTAAGAACCCAATAATCAGGGGCCGGCAGTGGCATGGTGGTTAAGGGCGCTGGACTCCCACATGGCTGACTGTGGTTTGAATCCCGGACCTGGCGGCTTCCTTTCTCACTCCCCCACCCCCACTTGCTGTTTGCTCTGCCCCTCACTGGCCAAATTAAAATAAGTAAGTAAATAAATAAAAAGTTAAATAATCAACACGGGTGACATGTTGATACCATGTTCATATGATACCACAGTCTGGAACATAATTCAGACTCTGCTGTGAGTCTTCTACTCATAAATTAAGTATCAATAATTAGATGGCTATGTAAAGTAAATGTTTGTGGAAAAATGTAAAAATAAATAAATAAAAGGAAAAAAAGTAAAAAAAAATAATAATAATTAGATGGCTTTACTTCAATTATTTTCCTCTTCAAGAAAATTCCAGTAGGCTGGGACCAGCAGCTGGTGTGATGGTTAAGGTGCTAGACACTCCCACATGGCAGACCATGGTTTGAGTCTCAGGCCTGATGGCTTGCTTTCTCAATTCGTCTCTCTCTTATCAAATTAAAATAAATGACTAACCAAAATTTTAAAAAATAATAAATTTTAAAAATTCCAGTAGGTGGCTTGCTTTTTCACTTTCTCTCTTTCTCTCTCTCCCTCTGGTCAAATTTAATAAATAAATAAAGTTAAATAAAATAATTTTTAAAATAAAAAGAATTCCAGTAGTACTAGCAGATGGCATAATGGTTACATTGCTGGATTCCCACAGAGTCAACCGCAGTTTGAGTCCCAGGCCCAGTGGCTTAAAACTGAGGGGTGTGTGTGTGTGCATGCCCAAAAGGAGAATGGAGGAGAAGGGACTGTGGTGTGGCTACCCTCAGTAGGGAGTGATTTCTTACTTTCTGTCTCTCTGCCTCTCACTGGTGAGAGTACATGCTCCCCATAACAAAAATCTCTCTAAAAAAAAATAATTAGAGCAAACTTGGCATTCAAAAAAAAAAAGAGAGAGTAAATGACCTAAACTCACTTTCAAATCAACATCATCTGAATTAAATTTGAAAGAAACAAGTGGTTACACCATAGGGGGTATAGTAGTTAAGGCACTGGATCTCATATGGCCAACTGTGTGGTTTGAGTCCCCAATCAGGGGTGTGTGTGCAGACATGAACAAAATCCCAAGAGGAGAATAAAGAAGGGACTGCAGAGTGGTCATCCACCCTGAGGGATGATTTCTCACTTTCACTCTATCTATTCTCAATGAGTGCACATGCCCTATAGCAAAAAATAAAATAAAATAAAATAAAGAGACAGGTAGAACACTAAAAAATAGAAGCAAGAGGTGGGAGAGCCCCAAAAGCACAGGAGTTAGGCCCTGTGCAAAGGGAGCCAGATCCCATGGTCAACTGCAGTTCAAAGCCCAGTCCAGCAGTTTGATAAACACACCAGGCATGCAAATATGCCCAGAATCCTGATAGGATGAGAAGGAAGGGAAAAAAGGATTCTGGTATGCCAGGCAGTACTGGGGGGTGCTTGTGTGCACACACACACTCTCTCTTTCTCAGGTGTGCACATACCTCCTTGCAAAAAAAAAAGAAGTGAAAGAGCTAGGCAGTGAAATATTGTAAGATGACACATGTTTATTAATAGGAAGTAAATTCAAAGTGCTTGACATGATTTTCGTCAGATTAAAAAGGTTAGGCAGAGAGAGTGAAACTAAAAACAATGAGAACAAAAACCTTTAAAACTCAGGAACCAGCAGTTAGCGTAATGGCTATGTCGCTGGACTCCCACGTAGTCGACCGTGGTTCACGTCCCAGACCCGGTGGCTTAAAACTCATGCCGGGCGCGTGTGCGTGCGTGCCCAAGATCCCGAGAGGAGAATGGAGGAGAAGGGATTGCGGCGTGACCATCCTCCCCGGGGGGTGATTTCTCGCTTTCTGTTTCTATGTCTCTCTCTGTCTGTCTGGCGAGCGCACGCGACCTACAGTGAAAATCTCTCAAAAAAAAAAAAAAAAAACCTTTAAAACTCAAGAGTGCGAATAAAGTGACCATTGTGATGGCCTTTATAAGACCAAACGGAAAAAAAAAATACATATCTCCAGTACTTTTCCTGGGCAAAGAAGAAAAGAAATTGAGAGCAGACAGGAAAAAAAATGAAACTCAGGGAACACAACTCTAAACTCTCCAAAACTGAAGAACAAAAAAAACTTAGTAATATACTAAAGCTTTTAACAATGATTACCTTTACTTCCATCACTTGGTTGATTTTTCTTTGTAAATAACATAAAATTTATCATTTTAAGTAAGGATATAGAATAGTTCAGTGGCATTAAGCTCACTAACACTGTAAAACCATCACTCCTTCACAAACTGAAACTGTACTCATTAAACAGTACCTGCCCATTCCCTTGGTTGACTTTTTAAACACAAGAGAAAGATATTTTATCAAGAGACCATCAAGGCAATAGATTCTCTCCTCTGACTCTTAACATCCATAATTTCTTCACAATATGTACCAATAATAATAATAATAATAATAATAATAATAATAAAAACCCTTAAGACAATAATAATAATAATAATAATAATAATAAAAAGAAAGCCCTTAAGACTCAGTTAAGGGTCTGGCAGATGGCATGGTGGTTAAGGCAGACTCCCACAGGGTCAACCACAGTTCAAGTCCTGGACCTGGTGGCTTGCTTTCTCACTTTCCCTCTCTCTGTCAAATTAAAAAATAATAACAAACAGGGACCAGCAGTTAGTGTAATGGCTATGTCGCTGGACTCCCATGTAGTTGACCGCGGTTCAAGTCCCGGACCTGATGGCTTAAACTCAATGCCGGGGGAGTGTGCATGCCCAAGATCCCGAGAGGAGAATGGAGGAGAAGGGATTGCGGGTGGCCATCCCCCCTAGGGGGTGATTCTTGCTTTCTGTCTCTCTGTCTCTCTCTGTCTGTCGGGCGAGCGCACACGCCCTATAGCAAAAACCTCTCCCCCCAAAAAGAAAAAATAAATAATAACAAATAAAGTTAAGTAAATAATTCTTTAAAAAAAGACTCAGTTGAGATTAAAAGTTAAGGTCAAGCAGTCTATTATTTTTGCATATATCTAATCATTCTTTCACTAAATGCTAATTGAAGGCCTACTATTTGCCAGGTACAGAGGTAAACCTTGGGCTCTAACTGTGAACACTGGCTTGAAATTTATAATCTAGAATGAAAGGGGCAAAGTTAACAGAATATGCTGAAAATAAAGACACTGAGATAGTGGGTAATGGTGAAGAGGGGCAACTCCAGATACTGTGTTCTAGAAAAGCATCCCTAGAAGGGAACATCTGAGACTTGCAACTATTATAAAAAAATTACACGTTTGATTCATCTTTCTATCTTGAAGCACCTATCAGCCTAGCCTGCCTTACATACAGGCTCAATATAGCTCTCCTTGGCCCCAATTTCCTCATACCTGAAATGAACTTCCAAGATTCTTTCTAAATATAAAATGTGTGTGTTTGAGGAAGGAAAGGTACGTATCACTGAAATTTGAGTGGGAATGAAGGCGGTCGGAACAAAAACTGATCCTACTCTAAAGCAGATCTGAGCTCTAAGCATGTGGATATACCCTAACAACCTAATTGCTACCTGAGATGACTTGCATCTTAGATAACATATAAGCAGAAACTGTTCATTCATTCAACCTGAGGAAACAATCAGCAAAGCAGACGCACAAGGTTGAAACGTGTACAAAATTATTCTAATTTTCATTTTCCTCTGGACTCTTATGGTGAAAGGCGAAGAAGGTCCCCCGCTTCTCTCGCTGTCAGGACAATGGTCTCAATGTGAGACAGGAAAGAATCATCCTTCTCTTATGATTCAACCCGGGATAAGGTAATGATCCACCAGTCCTTAGGGTTTGGGAAAATCATTCCATCCCCTTCAATGGGGAGCCTCGAGGAAAAAAAAGCTAACAACAGCAGTAACACTCCTCCTCGATCCTCAGCCTCATTCAAATGGGGCTAAGAGAGAACCAGGGAGATCACCGTCCTTTGGCCAGGTATGAGTCCCCTGGCTGGTGCCCTCCTCCACCCGCCTGGTACAACAGCGTCTAGAGAAACCGGGCACGTCCGGAGCCGCTGTGAAGAACGGAGGAACTGAGGACAGTGACGGATCGCACGGAGAGAAAGGGAAAGGGAACCGAGAGGAACCCAAGAAAGAAATGTTAAGTTCGAAGGACAAGCGGAGAGTGGATGTCCCTAAAGGAGCGAAAAAGGAGGATGCGGGCGCAGACCTCTAAGCCGGCTCTTACCATCTGTGGGAGACGCCATCTTCCAACTCACGTCACGTGACGTGGCCAACCGTCGGCGGGAAAGCCAGGCAGCATAAGCCACGCCCCCAAAGAGAAACCCTATCCCCAGCTCGCAGCCGGGCTCTGTTTCCCGGCCACACAAGGGAAATCTCTGCCTAGCCCCGCCCCTAGTAATAGCCACGCCCCATCGCGCAGCTAGTGAAGCGGAGCGACAGCAAAATTCATGGAAGGTCTTATTTACTTTACCCAGTGAGGGGTGGAGCCTAGGTGGCGCCTGTGGCCAATCGGGGTTCCGGGTTAGGGGGCGTCTTCTCTGAGGCTCAATATAGAGTACCCAAATCGAGGGCGTCTTCCCTACCTCCGCCAACTGTGTTGGCCTAGGTGGGACGGGGCGAGAGCGCCTCCGCTTCTGACCAATCACATATCCCCAGGACTGGCAGTGAGGGGTGGAGTTAGACGTTGGGGTGAGTGATTGGCTAGAGGAAATGGTCCTCTCCACCAATGAAGAGGCCTGGCAGCGTGGAGGGCGAGGCCTGGCAGCTGTGGTGCCTCGGGGGAGTCTCGGGCAGTCGAGACGCGGGGAGCTGAGAAGAGGCGGCCAGGAACCATGGCGGCGGTGGTGGCGGCAACGACAATGCGGGCCCGGATCCTGCAGGCGAGTGAGGGTGGCGCCCAGTAACCACGAACCTAGGAATTGGATCTTTTCCGTCTGTTCTCTGAGCCATCTTCGAGTGGGATCGACTTCTTAGCCCGGCCCCTTCTTGGCCGACCCTCGTGTTCCCACCAGACTCATGCAGCCCTGCCCCACTCCACCCTCGTCCCAGATCCAGCCCTGGACTGATACCCTTGACCCGCTGCCTCTTTACTCGTGGGCCTCCTCTTTTCAGATCCTGGCCCATTCTTCTCCCCCAGTCCTGTCCCGTTCCTGCTGTGATTCTCTCGCCCTCACCTCTTGGTCTGCTCACCGCCCTTCTTCCCTTCTGCACCAGCCACCTCTCTCTCTAGGAACTCCCCTTCTGGTCACCTTTCTTAGAGCTCTTTCCCCTGTTCAGACGTCCAAATTTTTCCCTTCCCCCATCCTACTTCATTGTCCATAATTCCAGGTAAGGGGGGGGGGGTTGAGAGGGGCGAGGGTCATTGAATGAACTTTGAATCTACTTCTAGAAGAGTGCACTAGATTTTTACAAAAGGCAGCCGTTTGCCAAACTGGGTTTCCCTAACTATGTATGGTTCTTTGTATTCTCCAAAGGCTGTGGGCTGTCCCCTTTCTTGCCAAAGACTTTCAGTTAAATTGTCTTTTGCATTACTTGGATTTCATGTTGGAGGTAAATAAGAACAGATAGTCATGCTACTAGTATGTTCCACATGGATTCAAGGAAGTAAATCTCTAAAACAGGTGAGAAAAGGGGATAGAATGTGAGCCAAGGAAGACAAAAAGCTCCCAAAGTCAGTTCTTCAAGTGCCCTTGGGGAAATGTCTTCTCCCTGGAGCCAGCCTAGGGGGAGGTGGAAGAGCTACAGGAGCTGTACCCCAAGCCCTGTGGTCTCCAGCTCTGTTCTTAGCTTTCCCCATGTCGTTCATTGCCTAGCTTATGAGGCAAGATTTACTGCAGTCAAGAGTTTCCAACCTGCAAGAGAGAACATTGCCCTTCTTATTCATTGCATCCAGCCTGAGACCTTCTGTTGGACTTTTAGGTAATAGTATTTACCAGGTTTCAGCAAATTCTACTGAAGAAACTTGTGTGGATTTTAAAAGTTCTTTTTTTTTTTTTTCTTTTGAGGAAAAGAGACAGCACCCCCAACACAGACCCAACCATCCACTCCCAGCCAGCCCTGGATCATAGAACATGCTGGCCTGTGTACTCAGGGATGTCTCTGATTGCAAACCACAACCCTTCCATGTTGGTCATGCTCATGGCGTATTGCATTGTACTACTACACCACCATCTGCCCTGTAAACTTAGACTTTTTTTTTTGGAGAGGTTTTTGCTGTAGGGTGTGTGTGCTCACCAGAAAGAGACAGAGAAACAGAAAGCGAGAAATCCCCCCTTAGTGGGGATGGCCACGCCACAATCCCTTCTCTCAGGATCTTGGGCACACACGCACATGCGCCCGGCTTGAGTTTAAGTCACTGAGTCTGGGACTCAAACCGCAGTTGACTACATGAGAATCCAGTGACATAGCCATTATACTATCTACTGGTCCCAAATTAGACATTGTTTTTTTTGTTTTTTTTTTTTAATTCTTGGCAGAGGAGGCTAGCAGGTGGTGTAATGTTAAGGTGGTGTACTCCCACATGGCTGACCAGGTTGGAGTCACAGACCTGGTGGCTTGCTTTCTTGCTTCCCTTTTTGTCTCTCTGGTCAAATTGAAAAATAATAATAAATAAAATTAAATAAATCTTTAAAAAAAGATTCTTGGCAAAGTAAGCAAAAGTGCATGTTTTTAAATGCAATTTAATGTGAAACAGTGTGGAGAATGAATTGAAGGGGTTTTCAAATGGTCTGACTTCACATTTCTTGCTCTGACCCTAGTTCTGTCCAAGCATCTTTTTTTTTTAAAGTGTAGTAGCATTCATTTTAAAAATTATTTATTTATTTATTTATTTTATTTTAATTAGACCAGAGAGAGATACACAGAGAGAGAGAGAGGGGAAGTGAGAAAGCAAGCCACCAGGTCCAGGACTCGAACCATGGATAGCTATGTGGGAGTGTCCAGCGTCTTAACCACCACGCCACCTGCTGGTCCCTCTAGCATCTTTTTTTTAGTAGCAGCGTAACAAGTTTCCACCCTATGTTTTCCCATTACCAACTTCTTTTTTTTTTTTTTTTTGAGAGGTTTTTGCTTTAGGGCGTGTGCACTCGCCAGACAGACAGAGAGAGACAGAGACAGAAAGCGAGAAATCAACCCCCAGGGCGGATGGCCACGCCACAGTCCCTTCTCCATTCTCCTCTCGGGATCTTGGCCACGCATGCACACACACCCCGTGTGAATTTTAAGCCACCAGGTCCGAGACACAAACCGCGGTGGACTACATGGGAGTCCAGCGACATAGCCATTACGCTAACTGCTGGTCCCACCAACTTCTTGAAATCTCTTAATGAACCTAGGTTTTTTTTCCCTTTACCTCTTTCTCTGACCATCATATTAAACCACTGAGATCCTCAACGTGTTTTATCTTTTTTGCAACAGAGAAAAGAATCTCTCTTCCTGTGTACTTTATTTCAGAAAAAGACAGCTTTTTCTGATTCATTTGAAGAAATTTCTGGACTGACCTGGAAAGGAACAGAACAGAAATAGTAACCCTTAGCCAACTAAGAGTTGTTATAACTTGAAACTTTTTCTTTTTAAAATTATTTAATTTTTATTTTATCATCATCATCATTATTATTAATATGCTACAGGGCACACATGCTCACTAGTGAGAGAGAGAGAGAAAGTGAGAAAGCAAGCAGCCAGGTTCAGTACTCAAACCATAGTAGGCCATGTGGGAGTTCAGCACCTTAACCAATATGTCCTCTGCTGGCCCTGTAATTTAAAACTTTGATAAAGATTAGTCTAGGTGCAGCTGCTGTGATGCAGGCGGTAGGGTGCCACTGAGTGATACTGGACCTATATGGGATACCCAGGTTCAGATCCCAGGACTTCCTGAACATGCTGATTATGGGAGGACTGCTGTGTAATGAGACCCTGTCAAAGGTACTTGGCCAAACCACATCCCCTCCATAAAATAAACTTTAAAAAATAGTCTAGATTCTGGTAGCCATGAATGTTAGAGAACTATCAAAAGGATCTATAGAAAGGAGGGATTGTATGTTCTCAGTTTGTTTGTTTTAGGTTTTGCCATAGGTGCATGCATTTGCCAGAAAGACAGAGGAGAGGAAGGTGAAAAATCACCCCCCAGAGTGGGATGGCCACACTGCAATCCCTACTCCATTCTCTCAGGATTGTGGGCAAACATGCACACACCTCTGGTGTGATTTTCAAGCCCCCAGGTCCAGGGCTCAAACCACAGTCACCCATGTGGGAGTTCATTCAGCATCTTAACCACCAAACCACCTGCTAGCCCTTGTTTCAGTTATTTTAAGGTTTCAGCTTGTCTTCTCTGTTATGGAGGAGGGTAAAACTTATCTTAGTACCTCTCTCTGCTCCTTCTGATATTATCATACCAGGAGATAAGAAACCAGTTTTAGAGGGTTTTTGTTTGTTTGTTTGTTTTTTTCTAATTTGCCACTGAATGCATGTGCTTGCCAGAGAGAGGACAAAGAGGGAGAGGGAGAAAGCACTCCTCCAATAGGGCGTGGTCATGCAGCAATCCCTTCTCCATTTCTCCACCCTGTAGGGACTTTGGGCATGCACACACCTGTGCCTGGCATGTTTCACAAGCTTCTAGGACCAGAACTCATTATGATTTATTTATTTCCCACATGGTCAACCTTGTGCAATCTAGCTACCTTCATCCAAGAAACCAGTCTTAAAGAAATACAGTGACTGGGACCAGCAGGTGGTGTGGTAGTTAAGGCATTGAACTTTCACATGGCTGACCATAGTTCAAGTCCCAGACCTGGTGGCTTGTTTTCTCACTTTCTCTCTCTGGTGAGCATGTGCACTCTATAGCAAATTAAAATAAAAACAATAATAACAAATCAAATTAATTATTTTTAAAATATAATTTAAAAAAAAATCCAGTGACTTGCCTCATGGTGTGGTGAAAAGAGTGCAGAATACACAGTCATACCTGGGTCGTGTCCTAACTTCACCACTTTCTAGTTTTAAGAGTATTTGTGATCATTACAATTAATGAATAAAATGAAGTAAATTACCTGACACTTAAAGTTAGTCAGTGTTGTTGGGGCTGAGAATTCAGGACTTACATCTCAGCATCTCTTTGTGCATTAGGCACTGCTCCAGACTTTCAGGAACATGCTTACAGAAAGTTCCCCCGTTGTAACCTAGTGATCAGTATAAACAACAGTTGTGCTCAGTGACTCAGGGAAAGAACCCCAACCTTTACAATTCAGGCAAAGCCTCCGAAAGCTTGAATTTGGCCTAAGTGTTGCAAGACTAACAGGCCTTTATCCAAGGGGAGACAGGAAGTCCTGGTAAAGGCATAGCAAGTAGGAAACCAACGTCTAGAGAGCAGGTGGGCCTGGTTAGAGAGTAGTTGCTCCAGTCTCCTACGAAATGAAAACAAAGTAGATCTGACCTGTCAAAAACTATGATAATGTCCTATTATACCAGATGCGGTGCACTTTATGCCCTCTCGACAACAAGGAGACTGTGTGCAAATAAAAAACATTTAAGTGACCTGGCTGGTCCCATGACCTGGGAGCCAGATCCCATGTGGACTGCTGCACTATTTGAATCTTGGCTTCGGTGGCTTGAAAAACATGCCAGGCACTTGAGTGTGCCTGCCCCAAATCTCAACAAGGTAGAGAAATGGAGGAGAAAGGATTATGGCCTGACCACACCCCACCAGGAGGTGTTTTCTCTATCTCCCTCTCTTTCTGTATGGTGAGTGCACGTGCCTTCTGGCTTGTGAAAACAAAAAGCCTTTAGCGGCCTAGAATGCTCCACGTTGGCTGATGAGTACATTTCTGCTTATGAGAGAGAACATGTGAAACAAAATTACTAAAGCAATTGCTTGGCAAGTATTCATTCTTCCATTTTATAGCATATTAATGAATGCTTATTCTAGTCCAGGAACTGTGCAAGGGGCTGAGGACACAATGGTCTAGTGATGTGCTGAGCTTTTGCCCTGGTTAATTATTAAACAAGCTAGTAATCCATACCGTGAGATGAGAAATAGAGGAATGTGGGTGCTTCCTGAAATCCACAATCAGGTGCTTAGCTCAGACCCGAGGCTGATGCTGCCTAGAGAAAGTGGTGGCTAAGTGGAGACCAGAAAGAATAGGAGTGAGCCCGACAAATGGGGTGAAACAGTGTCAGGCAAGCGGGAACAGCATGTGCAAGGGTTAAGAGCACACGACCAGTCCAGAATGACTAGAACACAGAGAGCTAGAGGAAAGGAGCCAGCTATGAAAATAAGGGGGGAAAAATGCTACGTAGAGTCTTCTTAGTGACGTCAAGGAGATTAGTCTTTATCCCCAGGACAGTGGAAAGCCATTGCAGTGTTTTGTGTTTGTTTGCTTGCTATAGGGCACATATGTTCACTGGAGAGATAGAGACAGAGAAAGGGGACAAATGAGGAATCACGCCCCTCCCCCGGAGGGATAGCCACACCACAATCCCTTCTTTGTTCTCGGAGGATTTTTTGTGCATGCATGCATACGTGCTAGGTGTGATTTTCCAGGACTCAAGCCATGAGTCAGCTATGTGGGATCCAGCTCCATAACCCTCACCTCCACCCCACCTGCTGGCCCTGAGTGTTTTTGTTTTCTGTTTTTTTTTTTTTTTTTAAGTTTATTTATTAATCTGTTGAGAGAGGAAACAGCATCTCACACCAGTCTTTCCCCCAGCCTTGCCTGCTGGCCACCCAGGCTTATGAGCATGCACACTCACTCCTGGCATGTATAGGTGGACCTAACGACCAAACTGTATAGCTCCAGTGTTGCAGAGAGGTGTGCTGTTGCTGCACCATCATGGCAGGACCAGCTATGGAAGGGTTTTAGACACCAGTTAGAAATCACCCCCCTGGAGGGGGATGGCCATGCCACAATCCCTTCTCCTCCATTCTCCTTTCAGGGTTTTGGACATGTAGGCCCATGCACGCAGCATGAGTTTTAAGCCTCTGGATCCAGGACTCAAAACTGCAGTTGGCCATGTAGGAGTCCAGCAGCATAACTATTATGCCATCTGTTGGTTCCAGATTTGTGTTTTAGAAAGACCCTCTGGTGATAGGGTAGAAAAAAGATTTGGGGAGACCAGCAGATGGCATAACGGTTACATCACTGGACTCCTACATAGTCGACTGCAGTTTGAGTCTCGGACCTGACGGCTTAAAACTCACACTGGGCACATAGGCGTGCATGCCCAAAATCCAAGGAGAAGAGAAGAGGAGAAGGGCTTGTGTGTGGCCATCCCCCTTGGGGATGATTTCTCACTTTCTGTCTCTCTCCAGCAAGCACATGCACCCTATAGCAAAAATCTCCCTCAAAAAAAAAAAAAAATAGAGAGAGAGAGAGAGATTTGGAACATTTAAGATTGGAGACCATAAGGACTGTCAGGAAGCATTAGTGCAGGTCAGGAACAAGGAGGGTTTAGACTGAAGTAGTATCAGGAGAGCTAGAGAGAAGAGAGTGGTGTGTTCCAAAGACTTGTAGAAGGACAGATTGTCAGGACTTGTTAGAGTCACTGTGGAAGAGAAGGAGGAGTCTGGGTGACATTCAGATTTCTCCTTGGGCTACTAGGTAAATAGTGGTCTCATTCACGGAAGGTGAGCTCTGGGAAGCAGAGCAGAATGGTGGGTAAAAAAAGCAGAGTTCAGCTCCTTCAGTAGATGTCAAGCAACATGCAAGTGCAGAGGTGGTGAAGAAGGTATGTGTGTATTGCCTGAAGAGTAAGCTTCTGGCTAAGGATTGTGGATCTTGGTATCATCAGGGTCTAAATAATTAAGCTACAGGAGGTGATAAGGTCACCCAAGAACTCTGCAGAATAGAAGAAAGTGGCCTAGGACCAAATCATGAGGAACTTGAAGAGCTAATGGCCAAGTTAGAGGAGGGTGATCCAGCAAAAGAGGCCGAGAAAATGTGGCTGGATAGATAGAGGAGATACCAGGGCATCACAGAAGACAAGTGAAAGGGGAATTTAGGAAGGAGGCTGTGATTAACCTTGTCACCTCTGCCGATTATCCATGTTGTATGTATCAGTACTTTATTCCTTCTCGTTGCTGAGTTTTATTCCATTGTATGGATATATCACATTAGTTCCTTATTCAGCTATTCAGTGGGGAAATTGAGATTGTTTCAAAGTTTTGAGTTATTACACATAAAGCTGCTATGAACATTTCTTTTTTTTTTTTTTTTTTTTTTTGAGAGGTTTTTGCTATAGGGTGCTCACGCTTGCCAGAAAGACAGAGAGACAAAAAGTGAGAAATCAGGCACCAGCAGTTAGCGTACTGGCTATGTTGCTGGACTCCCATGTAGTCGACCACGGTTCCAGTCTCAGATCCAGTGGCTTAAAACTCAGGCCACGCGTGTGTGCGTGCATGCCCAAGATCCCTAGAGGAGAATGGAGGAGAAAGGATTGCGGTGTGTTCATCCCCCACTGGGGGGTGATTTCTCGCTTTCTGTCTGTCTCTCTCTGTTTGGCGAGCGCATGCGCCCTATGGCAAAAATCTCTCCAAAAAAAAAGAAGGTGAGAAATCACCCCCCAGGGGAGATGGCCACACCACAATCCCTTTTCTGTTTTCCTCTTGGGATCTTGGACACGCACGTACACACGCCCAGTGTGAGTTTAAGCCATTGGGTCAGGGACTCGAACCATGGTCAACTACATGGGAGTCCAGTAACGTAGCCATTATGCCATCTGCTGGTCCCAACATTTATTTTCAAATAGTTGTATGGGCATATTTTACATTTGCTTATATACTATTTGATTTATACCTACCATTGATTATATACTTTGCTACCTATAATATACATTGATTATATACTATCTCAAATTCAGTACTTATTGTGATAGGTACTGTATTAAGTATTTTTATACTGTTAGAGTTATGGCGATTACATTTTCCAGGCCAAAAAAATAGGAAAATAAGAAACGGTGACTTAATTTTTTGTTTTTTCTTAGATCAGGGCTGTCCTGGAAATTGAGGACATGGTCATTATGATTTATTGTTCTCTCATAGCGTTTTGTGTTTCTTAGTCTCCTATCTTTTCTCTTCAAAGATTGTATATAGAGGCTAGCAGGTAGTGTGGTGGTTAAGGAGCTGGACTCCCACATGGCTGAGTGCAGTTCAAGCCCTGGACCTGGTGGCTTTAGGGTAAACTATGGCCAGGCATGTGTCCATGCATGCCTAAAATCCCAAGGAGAGAATGGAGGAAAATGGATTGTGACATGACCATCCCCCCGGGGGGTGATTTCTCACTTTCTTCTTTGCTGTCTCTGTCTGTCTCTCATAAGCACACATGCCCTATGGCAAAAACCTGAAGAAAAAAAAAAAGAAGAAGAAAAGACAAAAGAAAAAAGAAAATGGAGCAAACACAAAGTCTTTCATATGTCCACAGTAGCTAATCTAATGTTAAACTTACAGTAGCTATTTGCTAATTTTTTTTTGAGAGAGAGATTTTTGCTATAGGGCATGTGCATTTGTCAGAGAGAGAGAGTCAAAAAGATAGAAAGCAAAAAATCACCTTCTGGGAGGATGGCCATGCTGTTCTTTCTAGTCTGTTCTCTTCTTAGGCTTCTGGGCACAAACACACACATGCCTGGCATCATTTTCAAGCCACTGGGTCCAAGACTTGAACCACAGTTAGCCATGTGGGAATCTAGTGCCTTAAGCACTACAGCATCTGCTAGCTCCCTATTTGCTAAAATTTTAATAGTTTTCTGACCTCATTTATCAAAATAATAATTTTTTTGCCTCACAGGTTTCTTGCAAAGTGAAATCCACTTGGTATCCAGCATCCTCCTTTTCTTCTTCTTCAGTGGTGAGTTTATTTGGCACTAAAAAGTTGACTTCTAAGAAGGAATCCAGTTTAGGTGTAGGTATTCCCATTTCCCTCTTTCTCATAATTGTGATCAGAGTGTATGTAAGATTTTCTATCTTGGTTTATTTATTTTTTTATTTTTATTTTTTTGAGAGGTTTTTCACTATAGGATGCGTGCGCTCACCAGACAGACAGACAGAGACAGAGAGACAGAAAGCAAGAAGTCACCCCCAGGGGGGATGGTCATGCCACAATCCCTTCTCCTCCATTCTCCCCTCGGGATCTTGGGCATGCATGCACACGCGCCC